CCAACTACAGACGGAAAATCTTTGAAAAAGGAAAACAGTAACAAAAATACAACAAAAAAATACAAATAAAAAATATAGTATAATAACTATTTGCATAGCATTTACACTGTGTTAAGTATTATAAGTAGTCTAGCAATAATTTAAAATATACAGGAGGATGTACACAGGTTATATGCAAATACTGTGCCATTTTATAAGAGGAACTTGACTATCCTCGGATTTTGGTATGGGGGGTCCTGGAACCAGTCTCCTGTAGATACCGAGGGATGACTGCACGTGCATACATATATATATTTTCCTCATACACAAATGAAGACATATTTTACCTAATGTTCTACACTTTATTTTTTTTCTTAATTTCTCTTCTCTTGAAACTCTTTTTTTTTTTTTTAAAAGATGACCAGTAAGGGGATCTCAACCCTTGACTTGGTGTTGTCAGCACCACGCTCAGCCAGTGAGCAAACCGGCCATCCCATATATGGGATCGGAACCCGTGGCCTTGGTGTTATCAACACCGCATTCTACATTGACAAAAACAAAGAACCAACTGTAAAAATTCAAAACAAAAAACAAGGAAAGCTTGCAAAGCACAAAAAAGAAGGCAAAGTAAAATTTTAAAATATAGTTAGTAAGAATACATACCTTTTTTTTTTTAAGACTACTTGCCATTTTTTGGAAATGTACTACATGCCACATATTGAGTTAGGAACTTTTCCCAGGGCTGGCTGGTGGCTCATACTGTTCAGCAACCCCCCCCCCCAAAAAAAAAAAAATAAAAACAACAACAAAAAAGAACTTTGTCCAGTGATAATAGCTAATATTTATTAGATGCTGAATTTGTGCCAGGCTAAGTGCCTTATATGCATTATCTCATTTAAACCTCACAATAATCCTTCAAAGTTCTCCATATTATGGATAAGTAAACTGTGATATAGAGACATGGAATTACTTACCTCCCATCACAGAACTGGTCCTCTTCCTCTTCCCTCCCTTTCCCTTCCCTCCTTTTCAAGTTACAAAAGTTATACATGTTTATATAATAAATTAAAATAATTCAGAGGAAGATAAAGTAAAAGTAGAGTGCCCCAGCCCTTCTCCAGTGCCCCACAACAGAGATAACCTCTATTAACAAGTAGGTGTGTTTATTTCCAGACAATTTTCTATTGGAACCAATATTTGAACCCAACGCTTTCTGAATCCAGAGCCCTTCTTTGTAATAAATATTCAGTGTTGCCCTCCATGAGCAAATAGCAAAGTTATACAATTATATATATTCTATAAAGTAAAATGTCTCTTAAAACTCTTATCAACCACATTATTAACTGAAAAGCAGGAAAAGCTAAAACATATGAAGTACCTGTATCACTCTGTTACAAACAGCCTTTTCTTCACAGCATAAAGAATGCAAAATTAATTAATGTAAAAACAGATATTGACAGTTGCCACCCTGCAAGTACCTTTCATGAACATTCTATTTAGACTATTGTTTTGGGTTTTTTTGTGATTTTTTTTTTTGGCAGCTGGCCGGTGCAGGGATCTGAACCCTTGGCCTTGGTGTTGTAACACCATGCTCTAACCAACTGAGCTAACTGGCTAGCCCTGGACAATTGTTGACTACAAAAACTGAAATAATAAGGCAAGGAGAAACAAAAGCCACTGAAACTAAAGCAGTTCTGTTGGTCACCAGCTAATGTAGTTGAAAGTTTGCTATAGAAGGAGATTGAAGCCAATAGTTCTAATGAAATTTTTGGTAATCTGGTATTAGATTCCATGTATGGTATTGGCTGTACAGTATCCTGTGAGGTTGTACTGGTGACAAGTATCTAGGGCACATGCCATCCCACCCAAGATCAAGAAGAGCAGTAAAGTATCAATGGTAATAGTCTTGGGACATGAGGACTCATTTCCTCAGGCTGCACAATGATCCCATTTAAAAAATCAACCTTGCATTTTGGGGGATGCCTCATTCTTCATAAACTGGGAAACTGGGTAGTGAGGAGGACCTGACAGTTTCACTGAATTAAAATTTCCACTGCCCTGTTTCTACTTCCACATGGCAAATAGATTCCACTGGGACTCAGACTACAGGCCTGTTTGCTAATATTTAATTCTCTTTTCTTGGATTAAATTTAATTCTCTTTTCTTGACTCATCTTGGTGAAAGGTAATTAAAACTTCATAAAATAAACTCCCTGGCTTTGTTCCTAACTGCTCTTTCTCCTTGTTCTTTAAATCTCTGAAACTTTGGGTTATCATTTCTTTAAAAGTTTGTTAAAATACACCATAAAATTCTACTGTAGTAACTCTTCAGTTGAAACCTCCCCCAACAACTAAGCCTATAGTAATTGCTTCCTCTTCTGAATGAATTTTCCATGTCTAGAGTACTCATTGTTTGGTCCAAAAAGTATCCTCTCCTGGTTTTATGTTGATACCTATCCTGGAAGTTCCTTGAAAGCTACAATATGGATTGTAACTCTTCTGCTGGCCACTCCAGAATTACTTTACTAAGGGGGTTTAGGGATACAATCTGGTTGGGAAGGAGTGACTAGGGGACTTGTCTTGAAGCTAAATTTGCATACTAGGCACATTATTATTATTATTATTATTATTATTATTATTATTATTATTATTTTTAAAAGATGACTGGTAAGGGGATCTTAACCCTTGACTTGGTGTTGTCAGCACCACACTCTCCCAAGTGAGCCACGGGCCAGCCCAGGCACATTATTTTTATTTGCAGTGATTGGAAGTGAATGTTACAGAGTTTGGGAAGAGGTTAGCTAAAGCCCCCATATGCCACTCTTTTAGCTGCCACTGACCTGTGCTGGCTTGCCTATGATTATGGTTTCCAACAAATCTAGTTGTTCTTCAAAATCACTTTGGGAGTAAGATTTTTTTAAAAAATATGTTATTTTCAGATCTCACTCCAGAGCCACTGAGTCAGAATTTCTTGGATGGAGTCTGGGAATATAGAGTTTAGGAATCTTTACTGGAAGCCTAGCCAGTCAGTTCAGTTGGTTAGAGCACAGCAGTATAACACCAAGGTCACGGGTCTGGATCCCTGTATTGGCCAGACATCAAAAAACCAGAAAAAATAAATAAAGAGAGTTAGCCAAAAGGAACCTCTGTTGGGAAGTTCAAGTTGAAGGCATCTGAATATAACTGTTGGTTAGAGCACAGTGATATAATACAATGTTAAAGGTCAAATGTTCGGATCCCCATACTGGCCAGCTGCCAAAAAAAAAAAAAAAAAAGAATGTAATTAAATGCCTAAATTCAGGCATGGGTCCAGGTTATTTGGGGCCTGAGGCTTTTATAATGTGGAGAAATTTTTTAAGAGAAAAAATACAAAATACAAAAAAATAATAAAAATACAGAATAAAAATAAATAAAAGGTACACAGTCTTGGAGAGAATTTCAAGTGTAAGCCTCATTAGCTTCACGGTAAATCCTCCTTGCCTAAATGTTCTTGGGCCTAAAGAAAGCCAAGGTGGCACAGAGTTTGCTAAAGAAAGTGGTGCCTGCTTTAAATACTAGGATGGAATTGGAATTGTTATACACTCCTGAGTCTTCTGTCATTGGATAATGAAAGCAACACCAGGATGAGGAATCTGGTGGCCATAGGTAGGACCCTTGGGAGGGGCAGGAAGAGGCAAAGAGATCTAACTGAAGGACTAATCTGGGTGTATTTTAATTAGCAACTGATAAATTACAGTTAGCTGGAAGGAGTAAAGAATAATAATAATAAAAAAAAAAAGACAGAGAGACAAAAGCATCAAAAAAGCTCAATCCAGTAGACAGGAGGAATAGAGTGGAACAAGAGTCAGCGATAATTTTTACATTTTGAGCCTAGATAATTGAAGAAACAGTTGTGGGATTGCCAGAAATTTGGGGTTGGTTAGACTTAATTCTTGAGAAATTAAATCCAACAGAATAATTGCAATAACTGGGATACATCCTCCACCAAAGTCAGCTGAGCCCCTGGGCCCGGGAGGCATCCTGAACAAACTTGACTCTTGCTGGCAGTAGCCTTTGCAATGTTTTCTGTTTATTAACTTCCTGGTCTGATGGACACGTTCTTTCTCAATTATGGTAACAGCATTATGAACATTGCAGTCAGGTCTCCCTCTTCTTGCTGACTAGGAAGTCTTTTGTCTTCATATGGCTTTTGTTAAACACCATTATGAGATGAGTTATAATTTAACTCACAGAGTTGCAGCTTTCCCTGTTGCCTCTCCAGATGAGTGGTCACAACGAAAACAGAAAGAAGACAATGGATTTCAGAGAGCATTACAGAGCTATAAAAATAGAAAAGTATATGGAATTAGAAAGAGGAAGGAGTCTTAAAACCATTCCAAAAATATTTACTGCATACCTATTAAGTGCCAGTCTCTGTGCTTGGAACAAAAGCTATTACTAGAAAAGAGATGCATTCACTGCCCTGAGGGTGTCTGAGTTTTCAAGGGTGAGTGTTTGGGAAAGTGATGGGGTCAGGCAGAGCATTAGTAACAACAGATTCTAGAGAGTGGGGAGAAATGATGAATTTAGTTTCAGCCATGTTAAATTTAGTATTCTGGAAATTTAAGTGGAGATCTCCAGTACAAAATTGTAAACATGGAGGTCAAGACAAGAGATAAATGCTTGAGAAGATATCTACCAGCACAAAGATAATGAGGCAGGCATGAGAGATGAAAGTGTTATTTTCAAGGATAACAGGGTAGTACAAGCGGAGGCTTTTTTTTTTTTTTTTTTTTTGTCTTTTTTTCTTTTTCCGTGTCCGGCAACGGATCACAACCCTCAGTGTTGCCCCCGTACCGGACCGGGGACCGGCAACGGGACTGCAACCCTCGGTGTTGCTCCCGCACCTTGCTCAGCCAGTGAGCGGGAACCGGTCTGTATGTGGGATCCGAACCCTCAGGCGGGAGCGCCACCGCGCTTCCCAAGCGGCGCACTTATCCAGTGTGCCACCGGGCCGGCCCAAGTGGAGGCTTTTAACAGAGCTACAGATGCTTCAAAAATCAAGAAATTATACAGAATTGGTGAAAGAAAGGAAAAAAAAATTGGACTGGTGAATATAGCACAGGCAAGTCAGCAAAACTAGGAAGAGGCTCAAAATCAGAACTCACTTTTTGGGATAAGAATTTCCCTGTAAGGAATACTCTACCTGCATCCAAAATGTTGATATGCAGTTTGCGTTACTTATTTCTAAATACTGACCCTTGAAATTTTAGATGTAATTTGTAAATGCATGAGAGGTTACATCAGTTGAGATATATGTGTGTGTTTTCAACTGGAGGGGAATTTAATACAGAGATTTAATTTCATGGTAATGAAGAAGCTCAGAAGTCACCTGGGCACACTGAGGCAACCCAGAGAGTAGCATCAGCAGGAAGACTTTACCACTCAAGTCTGGAGGGACAATGGAAGGAGGTGGTCTTACCTGAGCTTCAAGCTGGGCCATCTGGAATGAGTTAGAGCCAAAGTGGGGACTTCCCAACAGAAGCTGGGAGCCAAGAGTGGCAATCCACAGGAAGTGGGAAACATCCTACCTTTTGCCCTCTGCCTCCCCAATTTATGGTCAGTGCTATCGGTATATCCCGTTGGCAGAGGCTACCTGGATGCCAGAGCCCAGGGGAGCCTGAGAATTATAATTCCTGTTTATAAGGGGACAAGTAGGGGAAAAACAGCATGGGGTGTTAACTATCTTTTTTTAACTGATTTGTAATTTTACGATATTGTGATCAAAGAATATGGTCTATATGATGATTATTTGGTATTTGTTGAGACTCACTTTGTGGCATAGGACATAGCCAATTTTTGTAAATATTCCAAGTGTTGTTGCATATTCTCTATTTTTTTGTGTGTGTAGTATTCCAGGTATATTCATCCAATTTAGTTTGTTAATTGCGGTATCCACACAATGAGGTAAATTCTTCCTTATCCATATGACTATTCTTGTCTGCACGAAGTCAGTTTTCAAAAGAGGCTTGTCAGAAATGTCTCATTATGATTGTGGATTTATCAAATTCGCACATCAGCTCTGTGGAGAATAGCCTGTAAGAAACATTAATGGAAATTGCTGGAGGGTTGATACAGAGGTCCAGGCGAGAAATGTTGGTAGCCTGGCCTAAGATGGTAAGAATGTGGAGAGAAGGCGAAAGAAAGAAATTAATGTTGATTCCTAGGTTTCTGGCTTGGGTAACTAGATGACAGAGGTCCAGGCGAGAAATGTTGGTAGCCTGGCCTAAGATGGTAAGAATGTGGAGAGAAGGTGAAAGAAAGAAATTAATGCTGATTCCTAGGTTTCTGGCTTGGGTAACTAGATGGATGGTGGTACCCTTCACATACATGGACTGCAACTAACCAGTGTTTTTCCTTGAGCATATTTTACATAAATCCTCTGGACTCAGTTTTCTTATATATAAAATGGTATGACAATAGATTGCATTCCACAGGGTTATTGTGATGATAAAAACAGTTAATAATGTAAAGTTCTTAGCACAATATCTAAATAATTGTTCAAAGTATGCTTTTATTATTACTAATTAGGATATGGTTAAAGGAGTGAAGGCTTGGGTATGAGGTGGGAAATTCAGCTTTCCTACTGAGGCTATGTTTGAGTTGCTTTGTAAGTTATCTTTCAGTAAAGAGGGTCTGAGTCATCTTAGCAAATGCTGCCATGGGATTAAAGAAATGGAACTAGAAAAGACCACCGGGAGATCAAAGGCTACTTTGAAGAGGTGGCAGAATCAAGGGAAGATTTTCTTAACGTGGGAAGGGTAGATCAGTTTCAGGCAGAGTAAGGAGCCATTTCAGAGGGAGATGGAACAACTCACTGTATGTACTTTCCTGTTTATTTTTGTTTTGTGGTGTTACAGCATGTGTTGTCTAAGGTGGTTCTGGGTATGGAAGGCAGCCATCCCCAAAAGTCTGCAAGGAAGCAGAACTCTGGAAAAAATGTCATGGACAGAGCAACATTTACTTGGAGAACAATAGTAACTTACCTCAAGTGTGATTTACCATATGATTAGTAAACAGATTAGTGACAGATTGTTAAGAAGCCCATAGTAAATTTTTGGTACAACAGGGAAAGGCGATTAACTTGACAAAGATTCATGAGCACATATGTTTCCAGCTGTGAGCTACTATGTGGACTGAAAACTAAAGTTGTGAATTCCATAGTATTCACTGCCTTGGCAGACTTCAGTGTGAAATTATGCATGACCACACCCCTCCCACAAGTTTGCACAGGCTTAGGAATTTTCTTATTAAGGTTGTTATGCGATCTGCATTTTAGCAAGGGCATAGAAATGCATGGAAAGAATATACCAAGGCATATTAATCTTGACTTATAATCATGTATGCCCTTTCACGCACAGGCTTAGGAATTTTCTTATTAAGGTTGTTATGCGATCTGCATTTTAGCAAGGGCATACAAATGCATGGAAAGAATATACCAAGGCATATTAATCTTGACTTATAATCATGTATGCCCTTTCATTGGGTTAGTGCCAAATTACTTTTTCTTTTCTGTATTTTTAAGGAGGAAGGCATTGCTTTAAGCCTATTCTAATTGGAGCCATCTTTCATTAACCAGTTTTAGATCTATCACAAACAAATTATAAGCTAGATTCAATTATGAAGCCATCAACACACTTCACATAAATAGAAAATGAAAAGCAAGCTCTGTGTAAAGATAGGAGATTTAACATGCAATTCTATCTTCTCACCTTCTGGAAACCCCAAGAAAACTATCAGTGAAGGAATATTTTAAGGCTTAACAAATGAATACATTGTGATAGAATGAGCAGATAAGAGAAACTGAATCAAGTCAGGCAGTAGGGAAAACTAAAAATTAATCTGACTTACACCATATCTAAAGATTTGGAAACTAATGGCAGCAGGTCCCTGTGGAAGTGGAGATAAAAGGGGTACGAACTAAATGAGGAGGATGTTAGAAAGTTTGCTTTAGAAGGAGTTGGATCCCTAGACTCCTCCCCAGCTGGAAGAAGACAGTGCAGTTGAGGGTGAGGGAAATGTACTAAATATAGGGGGTTAAATGAATTGATGCACATTAGCTTCTGTGACACCCCATGCCACATTTTTCTTTATCTGCTGTGGACCCAGGACACTGAAAGTTAGACGTTCACCCTCCAGGCAGGATATGGAGCTTTCTCTGGAAAATATGATTAGTCAATGATGAAAGACCTGATGTTGGAAAGATACTGACATTGAAAGTGCCCCCTTTATACAGCCCACCCTGATGTTCCTGCAGTGAAGCTCACATCAGACCAGACCAGCTCTCATATCCTCCGAGCTTCCAGCCAATGTTTTAGTGTCTCACTCTTAAATATTTTCAAATACAAAGACTACAAGATATCTGAGGAAAGCCTTGGACCTGAAAGATAGAAAATAAAAAAGAGAAAAAAGTAATGTTAAGGAAATAAACATAAAATAAAAGTCAAAACTTTACAAAAAGAAGCTACTATAACCAAGAAACAAGAACAGGATTCTATGTAAAAACAAATAAATAAATAGATGGGACTTACCAAAAACATAAAGAAGGTCTTGGAAATTAAATACATAACAGAAATGAAAAGTTTCAATAGAACAGTTGTTAAAATTCAGAGATTTCACATAAAATTCCATGTCTCTGACTTTTTTGAGATACTAGAGGAGCTGACAACACTGGTCCTAAGATTAGCTGAGCACAGGTATGTTTAAAAGGTGTGTGTGTTTGTGTGTGTGTGCCCAGGTGTGCACATATGCTCCTGTGCTCCTGTGCACTGAGGTCTTCCCAACGGCTTCCCATGGCTTCTCACATCCAGCTTACCCCACTCATTTATCAGCCTGGCCCTGCAGGCATTTTAAACTAAAATAAACTATGGCCCTTTTCTGACTCTGTTTCTCAACCTCAGCCAAATCATTTATATTGATAGTACTGAAAGTGCTAGAATTTGCTAATAATCTAAAAAAAAAAACAAAATTAAAAAAAAAAAAGATTGAATTCAGAGCTATCTCTATTGTAACACTACACTTACTCTCTTTCCATCCTGTTGAGTGAGAATAATAAAGGATGGAGTATTTGTTGACACACCAGAAACCAAACTTAACTGGGAAGTGTGTTTCTGTGAATCACCGTTCCTCGGGTGTGTCCTGGCTGAGGCAGGCTGAGTACAACTGATCTGTAGTCCAGTTTTGTATCTTAATATTCTAATTATGTACAGTCCTTCTTTGTTACATATACATCAATAGCCTCATAGAAACTTCTTGTAAGAACTGCTTTTTGTACAGTATTTTTTTTTTTTTTTAAAGATGACCGGTAAGGGGATCTTAACCCTTGACTTGGTGTTGTCAGCACCACGCTCAGCCATGAGTGAACTAGCCATCCATATATAGGGATCCGAACCCATGGTCTTGGTGTTATCATCACTGCACTCTCCCGAGTGAGCCACGGGCCGGCCCTGTACAGTATTTCTGAGTTCCTCAGAGTACGGAGTACTGAGAATATTTAACAAAAACTTGTTGGTTGAGTGAATTACATAAAAAAACAACAAAAAAAGGATGGATACTGCCATTAACTTGTAACTCATTTCACCATGATTTGCATAAATAAATATATAGAGGTAGTGAAAGAAGTACAAATGCACACACACATGCAAACACACACAGATGTATGTACATATAGTAAAAGCAGGGAGAATGTCTCATAGTTCTGGACTCTCCTTAACATAATTTTCTTATTTAATCCTTACAATAGTCATATGTGGGCAGGTTTTCTTTTTTATCTTATTTTATTTATTTTTTTGGTGGCTGGCTGGTATAGGTATGACAAGCCTGAGGTCTAAACAACTGAGCTAACAGGCCAGCCCTATTCTTTTTTATCTTAATTTTATAGATGATAAAATGAGGCTAAGAAAAGTGAAATAAGTAGTTCATAGCCACATAACCACTAAATGGAAAATCCAGGATTCAAATCCAGGTCTAATTCTAATACCAATAGTCCTTCCTAAGCAGTACCTTCCCCCCACCCCTCCCAACCCAAAACAAACAAAAAACCTTGGTAAGATGGTGAAATTTCTCCAACAAGATATCCCAATCAATAATTTAGTTGTCATTTAAAGTAATCAACATATTCTGCAACAGCCATTAGAGAAGTTAAAGATGTCTTGAGCTGAATTAATAATCAACATATTCTGCAACAGCCATTGGAGAAGTTAAAGATGTCTTGAGCCGAATTAATAGAGGGGAAAAAACAAAGGGCATCCCAGGTAGAATTCAGTTCAGGTTTAAGTACATGGCCAAAAGAAGTTAAAAGCTTAACATTTTAAAAACTTGATCAGAGGTTAGAGATAACCTTGAAACATAGTAGACGATTGGAAATTATTTGTTACAAAAATGAGAAATTGCTTCTTGGCCACAACTTGTATTTATTGTAGACAAAAAGTGGAGGCTGAATCAATTCTTAAAACTTAAAGGAAAATTAATTAATTAATTAGTTAATTTGCAGCTGGCTGGCATGGGGTTCCAAACACTTGACCTTGGTGTTAACAACACCACGGTGTAACTAATTGAGCTAACCAGCCAATCAGAATAAATTTTTTTAAAAACATTAGATCAAAACTCCATTTTTATTCATCCAACGGAAGCATTTCCAGTATGACCAAGGGGCACTGTGGGGCAAAAGAGACATAAACAGTTGAAGACCCAGACTCCACTCTCAAGGAGTTTGTCAAGCACTAGAGGAGCTGAAGAATCTACATCTGGATGCAGGAGAGTGCTAGGTCAAGTGAGGCCCATTCACAGAGGGTCCTGCCAACCAGGCAGAGACTTTTGGACTGATAGCTGTCAAAAGGGGAGCTTTGAGGCAGCAAAGAGTTAAGAGGCCACTCTATGCCCAGGCTGCATACAATACCACACTCTGTGTGTGTACCACTGAGAAAAAGAGAGGTGGTAAACAGAGTCTTTCAGAACGAGATAACATAAAAGGCTTAAATAAATTAATCAGAATGGTTCTGAACATGATAAGATAAGGGGTTTAGATGACGGAGGGTGGGGCAGCTGCTGAATAAGAAGATATACATATATCTCCAGCAAAAATGGGTTGTGCAATTCAGGGCAGCTGATTTAATAGAAAGGAAAATATGTTAATTAGATGGAAAGTTGAGTTTCTGTTATGGGTATAAGTAGGTGCAGGTGGCTGTGTGTGTGTGTGTCAGAATTATAAATGAAAAGTCAAAGATGAACCCCTAAGCTGGCTAGCAGAGCATTCATGGGTGATATAAGGGAGGTTTTTAGCTTACTTTTAAATTTTTTATACTTTTTTCTAACTGAACAAATAATACATGAATATATTTTCCTTGCAAAAATTAGAATTTACAGGTCAAAAAAAAATCCTCTCCGACCACTTCTCAACTATCCCCTACACAAATCCCAACATCCTTCACAATTTATCTTTTTCTGAAATTTGAAGTACAAGGACAAGTAGTATTTGAGCATAATGCAAAAAAAAAAAAAAAAAAAGAAAGAAAGAAAGAAAAAAAGAAAAAGAAAGAAAGAAAGAAAAAATGCTGGCAGTAACAATAACAGCTCCCTTTTATTAATCAGGTGCTATGCTAGACAGTTCACCTATAAGGTATCAGCTCATTCAGCAAATGTCTTGTGAGCAACTGCTAAGTACCAGAGTCTGGGAATACAGCAATGATCTAGAGGAGTTCATAACCACCTCCAAGCTTGGCATTGTTTTCCATCATATACTGATAAGGATAAGCGATACTCAGAAAAATTACACAACTTACTCAAGGTTACTGTGAGTTAAGTGGTAGTGCTAGGATTCAAATCCTGGCCTGTCTGTCTTCAAAGCCTGCACCTCCTTTTAAAACTGTCTAATAGTTTTCAAACCATTTGTTTTAAAAGCATAAATCATTTTACCTTTTTTGTGTGTGTCTGTTTGTGGCTGGTTGGTATGGGTGAAAGGAAAAAAACCTGGCCCAAGCACAAAAGAAACACACCAGGAGACAGTGACTCAACCAAAGTGTATTAGGCAGGCAAAATGAACAAGCGGGCAGCCTTCTCAAGAGTGGGAGCAGCAGCAGGGAGAGTCGGGGTGGGCCTTTTATAACCAGTTAGGCTGAGTTGGACTGTTCCTATTGGCTAAGAAGGAAGGGGAGGGAAGCAAGTGGGGTTTAAGCTGGGTTGGGATTTTTCTATAGGTGGAGAAATTTGTGCATGTGGGAAGGGGATGTGGTGGTGAGGAAGAAGGGGGAGGGTTTTTTTTGTGATTCTCAGAAAACGTGCTATTCTAGGGACCTGAAACTCTCCGCAGCCATTTTGGGTGTTCCTCCCACCCTCCTGCCACCATCTTAGACATTGGCTAAAACATAATTGCCTAAGAATGGGGACTTGAACCCTCGACCTTGGTGTCATCAGCACCATGCTCTACCCAACTGAGCTAACCGGTCAGCCCTTACATTTTTTAATGAAAATAAAATTAAACTATCACATTGTAGCTCAATGCAGAAATAACATAAAAGTAGAAGTGCTCTGTTTCATTCAGTGGCCTACCCCTAATGATGAATATGTTTTCAGCAAGAGGACTGGATGGAATTACTTAAATGAAATACCTCAAAGGCCCAAGTCCCCTATTGTTAAACAGGTAAGGGACAACTACCAAACATTAATGTTGGTAGAGATCATCAGGGCCAATGAATTCGAAACTGGAAAGTGCCTGAAAATTAAAGATGCCTGTCCTCCCCCTATTACTTGTGACCCTCCATTGCTAACCCTAAACTCACTGGGATTAAGACATCTATAGTTGTTAAAAGCTTCCATTTGGTGACTTGGATGATCAGGCATGTTTGAGAAGCAATTCTAGTAAAATTATTTGTTCTGCTTGATTCATCTCCTTTAGGAATCACTCTTTACCACCCAAGGAATCCTCCACGCATGCTCCCAATCTAGAAACATTTCACCAGACTTGTACAATAAGGATACTGTATAGGATGCCCAGCATTTGTGGATGGTAATTTCGAAATGACTCGTTTTCCCTCCTTCTACTTTGATTTTTCATTTCCACCATCCTTCAATTATGAACCACATAATCCTTTCTAGAATGATGGATATCTTGTTATCTCTGGCCCCAGTCTAATCTTTGCTTCCTAGTTACGGCTTTAATTTCCCATTTATTGTTGGTGATATTTAAACCTCCCTTCCAGGTTGGAAATCAGCACCTGTGCTTCTCCTTATAATGTTTGTGTCCCAGCAGAACCCATGTCCCTCTACCCTGCCAATCCTCCCAGATCAATCCTAGCTTTGTGAAACCAGGACATTATTGTTTATTGCAGCAATCATTTTTACAATATCCCCCAAAGAACTATTATTCAATGTCTGCTTATTTCC